TAAGTTCATACAAAATGATGCAATTGCATCTTCATGAATGAAAAATTTGTATACAATTTATATATTGTTTATTTTAGATAATTTATATATTAAGTATATTTTTTACTAAAATAACACTTAACTTTTATGGTAGGGTATAAACTATTAGCTTTTCGTAAGCCTAAAAACATTTGAATTCGTGAATCGAATAGTTGTTATTTCAATTTATTTGAGAATTCACTGTATTATAATTGGCAGTGCTAATTGCAGAGTTGAATATTAACAGATATGCCGAAAGCTAATCTGTTCGCGTATGCCAATAAAAATATGTTAAACTCTAGATACGGTTAGAATTTTTACTATTTTACAGTTAGGGCGCTATCAAATTGAACAGAATTTACAAAGTGTATTTGGTTGTCTAGATCAAAGTTATTAAATTAGTTAACTATATCTTAGAATAGTTTAGGAATAATAGAAAATGTATCTCAAGACGAGTCGCATAAAATTTAAATAAATATTTTATTCTTGATTAAAATATCGTCAAAATCTTTCCTATTTTTTCTCTTTTTATAGATATTTTACGTTGTTTTATATTTTTTTAAATAAAAGAACACTTATTGTGGCATGCCTATAATAGTTAGACATATGCTGTCGCGACACTTTTTGTAAATAATAATGTGTTCTACAAAGTCGTAGTCCATTATTTTATTCTATCATCAATAATTTCCGCAGGGCACGTGATGTAAAGAATATTTTAGGTAATTTTTTAGACCTCGGGCTACATTACTGCAGTTTTAATAAGAATCCCTAATTTAAAAAAATATATATCCCTATGTCACTCGGGAATAATGTAGCTTCCAAACAGTGAAATAACTTTTCAACTCGGTTCAGTAGTTTCGGAGCCCATTCAACACAAACAAACAAACAAATCTTTCCCCTTTATAATATTGGTATAGAAGTATAGATGATGTTAAGAGTAAATAGACTTTTAGATGAAATGTTTTACGTATATCATTAAATATGAATATAAAGCTGAAGTATAAGTTGAGGCCGGTGACTGTGTCCAAAATAATTTGAAACCGCCATAGGCACTGCCTTTAGCGAAATATCATTTCCAAAAATTCCCGGGCAACCTAATAACTTAACTCTATGTATAGGTAGACTGCTAAATAAATCGTGCGTTTCGCTGTAATGTTTACATTTACCAATTACCCTCGCAAATTTGACGTTCGTCTGACATTATTCTGACTTTTCAAGCGAACACGCTCTGAGCGAAGTTCGCACACACTCATGTCGTGTCTTGTAAAATCATTTCAGGATATCAAAATTATATGATTCTTGTTACTAAGGCTTTTTAAAAGCATACAATTATCCTTTCTTTTTTTTATTGCTTAGATGGGTGGACGATGTCACAGCCCCCTGGTGTTAAGTGGTAACTGGAGCCCATAGATATCTACGAAGTAAATGCGCCACCCACCAGTATAGTTACAACTGCTGCCCCACCCTTCAAACCGAAACGCATTACTGCTTCACGGCAGAAATAGACAAGGTGGTGGTACCTACCCGCGCGGACTCACAAAAGGTCCTATCATCATTCATTTAGTTTGCTGACGTAGTCTACCTTCGCCATCACGGCATCACGAAATTGTCTCGCACTTTGAGATAAGAGATCTAATTGTCAATCAGAAGTGGTCAAGCAGCGAACTAACGCTCGTCGAACTCTTTGACGAGGACGGTATCCAGTGCTTTAAGAGCTTAAAAGCACCTAGAGTGGTTCCGGCAAATCCTACAGACAAGTTTCGGGCGACGGCGGCTTCATGTTTCCCGTCGCCTGAGTCGAATATGTCGAATTAGTGGCAGCAACGAACGAAAAGAGGGTTACCGTGTCGCGCCGCTTTATCGCAGCAGCGTTCTGACGCTACGTTAAGATACTTGCGTATCTGTTCTAGATTTAGATCGTCATGAAGGTCGACATTACTTAAGTAAGAATGTTAAACTTGCAGGATTTGGCGATACATACTGAAACAACTTCTAATGCGCGATTATTATTCACAAAAAAAAAAAACAATATTAATTTTTCTCGCAATTAAAAATTTCAAGAGACGAACTTCGGAACCGCGGCGGTCACGGAGTGTCGCAACTCAACCTCTGAATCCTCAAGTTCCCTTACAGTTTTAATTTCAAACAAACTTATGGCATTATTTATGTTTGTTTATACTTTCGGTTGCTGTTACGTAATTTCGCTTGCGGTTCAACAGAATCGGTTAAGGCTTGTAACACACAATGGGCGTTTCTAGAATACGACAATTTCGAATGGTAGTAAATGTAATAATGTATATTATTAATGTTATATTTTTAGAACAATAGAATAAACTGCTTATATCACTAATGCGTTTGTAATTGTATTGTAATTGTGTTAGCATTTAGTATCAAATTGATGTATGTGCTATTTGAAATGCTTATTGCAGATGTATAACATGTTAGTACCTAACAAAGTAAAATATCATTGATTTTCAAGCACCTTCTCGACCGCTCATAGGAAATGCTCAAATATGCCCTAGTATAAACGCCCGGTGCACTTTTAGCGAGTACTACAATCGTCCTCCTTGCGTCATTATTACTGAGGGTCATGACTCCCCCGCTGCATCAATCCCTCTTGTACGATTGGTCTCCATCTGCTGCGATTCTTGGAGTCGTGGAGGGCATCATGAAGCTTGATGTCCGGACAAGACCGTTTTTGGTAACATACGTACAATAGTGTCTGAATTTAAATCGTATACTTATCGTATTTTTTTTAAATATTGACACTTACATGTTCATAGCTATATAAGTTCATATAAGTTGATTTTGCTATACATACGACCTTATTCCAAAGTCCCTTTATTATTATTTTGTCGAGACTCTAGCCTACTGTTCAAACGTAGAATTCGCAAGGTGATGTCCATGGGCATCAGTGAACATCGAAAATCTTTATGAGCCGTGAGATCTTATACCCATACACCACAAGGCATCAAAAAGCTTATAGTCATATTTATGTACTACACTTCTGTAATATCCATTATATTATAATACTATAACGTGATAATCTAGTCGGCTTCGAGAAGTCTTGTTTGTGTAGACCGGCTTTATCGTCTTTAGGGTTGTTACGAAAGAGTTTCAGCCTATCAATTTGTTTAAATGGCTCCTTTTGAATTACGCTTCGTGATCTATTGCTTAACTTTATGTCAATTCGAATTACCGTATGTTTCTGAGTTAGTCTGGAATATGTGCTAACAGTGAGCATTCGTGAGCGCTCTATACATTTAATACCGCTAGATTTTTTTTTTAACAAAACCTTTTACAACCTAAAATCCTACAATGTGCCTTTGGGTAGAAATCCAAATTATTGAATTTGATAACGGTTATCTTATCATTCTAATCAAGCACCATTGCTTCTCGGCAAAAACAGGCAAGACATTTGTCGACGAGCGAACTAACCCATAGACACAGCACATTGAATTTCTCGCAGGGTCTTCTCAGTGGGTCGTGATTGCGATCCCTTGGTAGATTCTGCGAAATACTGCTCTTGGTAGGGCTAGGGTTAGCAAATTCTCTCAGATTGAGCCTGTGAGCTCGTCTACCCGTCCGGACGTAGCTGGAATAACTTCTTAGGCCACCAGCAAATAGGTTGGGGGGATGAAGAAAAAGCATCAGTGTCTGTCCGCGGTGGGCACACAATCCACTGTTTCACCAATAATTACACATATTGATTGATAAACATAGTTTTTACATACGCGACTTGAACAAAAGAACACGTAGAAAGATTTAAAATGAAATATATAATAGTTAATAAAAACTTACAAAATACGCTTTTATAGAAAATCCAACTAAAAAATAGTAAATAAATTTTAATAAATTTGAATTAAAAATAGTGTAAGAAAAAATTATTTTATTGTAAAAATGATTTTAGTTGAATTTAATTTTTTTTCATTTTTTTTTAATATGGTATTGTCATCGGTCCTTAATAAGTATACCAAATTTTGAGTAAATCATGTTCAAAGATTCCGTTACAAACATACATACGTCTGAAGTTAATAAAAGCGTTTTAAAAACAACCAATTATTTACTAGAAATTTGAAGAAAGTTTCTCTTTTACAAAATGAGGTTAAATCAATACAATATTTCGGCATAGATAAACAGCTTGAAAAATAAATAAACCATTATTTAAAAAAAAAGGAAAATAATGTCATAAAACAAATACAAATTTCCTTGCTCCTACAACAATGAGCCTACTTGCCGACTGCATTCGGTTGCCAAAACAAATAATAAAACGAGGAATCGCCTCCATAATTACCGTGGCTTTAATGATGTTGGCAATGCTCTCGGCAAAAAAATAACAAAGCGACTATTTCTTTCTTGTTTCGAGGGTTCCGTCGCTTAATTTGAGGAAATGTTGTGATGGGTTTCTTTTGTAATTTTTGGAGACTGGCATAGCTTTACTCTGAATGTTTCTATTGAGAACTTGTATACCAGATGAAACCACACCTGTACAAAGAGACGGTAATGCAGATGATTCATGTCTTGTTGTCTGTGGATTCTGTTGACTACTTTAATACGAGCCGGAACATAAGTCTGCCCTAAAGCACCAAACTACTCAATCTGATTTACACAATTAATCTTTATACAACTATAGGCTGAGGACAGGAAGGAACATAGTCCAAGTTCTCAGTAAAGCTCACGACCCTTAGCACTGAGGAACACAATGCAAGGAGGAGAGGAAGTACATAAAAGGCCAACAGTGGATTTTTTTAAAATATAAGCTATGTATATTTTTTCCTTTTATGCTGAGTCAGAATAGAATACTTTCATTTTGTTTTTGATTGAGAAGTTTTAGTTCATTAAAAAGTGTCCAACTTCAGCTCTGAGTTCTGTTTGTGTGTTATGATAAGTGCCTTTTTCATCAAGTCTGTCAGCCGTAGCAACTACTCTATTTGGAATGTTAAGGTTTTGAGTAATTAATTCAGCGTAACCTATTGTTTCAGATACAGAAACCAGGCCCGCAACATCAGGTGGAATCAAAAATCAGGTGAGTGATTTTACAAATATACATCACAAAAAAATGTACAAAAACACATTCAAAAGAAAATCAAAAAGTATCTTGTTTAACTCTGACTATTGGCAAACACTCTACAAAATATAAACTTTGTCCATTATTTAATTTCATGGTATCTCATTTCAACTGGACATATTAATAAATATTATGTTCTTATGACACATAAATTTCTCTTATAGTCATTACAATATGATATTATAACAGAACGCCAGAAGATGTCCATTCAGCTTAGTAAAAATCGTTTGAATTATTAGGTTTTATTTTGGTCTTTTTAAATATGAGTACACATTTACAAAAATTGTGAGCATCGATAAAAAAAATCGTATCGAGTTGAAAGTTCCGAGTTTAATATCGTCGTCAGGTGGTCCTGCGCTAATCGGTTTCACACANCATTACAATATGATATTATAACAGAACGCCAGAAGATGTCCATTCAGCTTAGTAAAAATCGTTTGAATTATTAGGTTTTATTTTGGTCTTTTTAAATATGAGTACACATTTACAAAAATTGTGAGCATCGATAAAAAAAATCGTATCGAGTTGAAAGTTCCGAGTTTAATATCGTCGTCAGGTGGTCCTGCGCTAATCGGTTTCACACACGCGTCTCCTTTAGGAGGTTTTATGGCCTAGTGTTGTTACGTATGTTACAGCTACTTACATATATGTACGTGCACCAATAAAACAGTTATTAGTGTCCTATTGGCCATTTCGTGATATTTTCGATTATTGCCAATCATAGACCATTCAACGACTTTTACGATATAATCTCGGATTTCATTTAAATTGTTACCACAATCGTTCCGAATACTGTACAGTTTTCGTAACGTCTAAGATGTTTTTCGTCGACATTTGAATATCGTGGTAGCTTCGATTGACTATTATCGGCGCGGTACCCTAAAAATGTTTGTAACAGTTGGCTCGTTACATCGTGTAGGCTTTCACGGGCTTACATCGGATGAATAACTGGAAATTGTAATGGCTGTTAGATGGACTTAGGATTAAACGGGCCTTTGTTTTTGATAAAATTGGAAAAACGTATTACGTAATGGGTTTTAGGGCGTAAATTTACCTACCTACATTTAATTAATTAAGCTTCGCGTTGATGATCAGGTTGAAAATAATTAAACTTTCACCGCTGTGTAAGCTTCTTCGGCACGCAAAGTCACCACTGCCTCACCAATATCGGCCTCGAAATTCTTATAAAAGCTTTATATCGGGCTTCACTGATATTTCCAGGAGATAGGATATATAACTGTTATGTATGTACGTAGTTATGGGTAATAACTACCTACTTTTTCAGTCTATAGAGGTTGCTAAACATCCACTGATAAATATAATAACAGCTTACTAAAAAGTGGAAATTATCGGCACCTTGTTTTTTTCATTCCATACTTAACAACACAATCTCGCTTCACAAAAAAGTCTGCACTTTTCAGACTGAAACAAAGCAGCAGCTGGTTCCGGTTAAAACTAGTCGAGACCGGTTGTTACCAGTAAATTCCGGTTCGCACAAGAGCTCGGCTGTATTCCTTTTGCTGTGACGTCATCGTGTTTAAGCCAGCTAAATTTAATTCTCTCCTTGCTCTCAGTTCAAAGCACTGGGTATATTACGTAGGTGTGCAGTAATAATAAAATTTTAAGGAGAATTGTGTGCTGCAGCTGAATATCTCGTGCGTCTTATTGCTTTTGTTTATTGCTTGGAGAATATTCTTTGAGGTGTTGAGAAATTCGTTCATATTATATATTTATATATATAAGCTTGCTTTAAATCATTCAACAAAGGCAGTATAGCTCAGCTCATCATTCTCCTGCTTTTCTCCCAGTCACCTAGGGTCGGCGCAACATGTTTTCTCCTTCCATACTCCTTTATCATATACCTACCGTTTCTTCACTCACTCCCTTCTAACACATAACGCTTTTCACGCAATCCATTCATTTCCTCTTAGGTCTACCTTTTCCTCTATATCCTTCCATATTCATAGATAACACTCTCTTACCAACGTTATTTTTATTTCGTCTCATCACATGTCCATGCCATCCCAAACGCGCACTTCTCAACTTCTCTGTCACAGGTGCCTCTTTCAGACTTCTTCTAACATATTCATTCCGTATTCTATCTATTCTCGTTACTCCACACATCCATCGCAACATTCGCATCTCTACTGCATGCAATCGCCTTTACTTAGTATAGCTAATGAGCCTCCTTATATCCTCTTTTAGCTTGAAAATATCCAAAAGATCCAAGACAGCTGTCTATAAAAATAAATAATCAATTATGACAATGAATTGTTATTCGTGCTTGACTATAAGTAATGTAACAATAATACGTTTGTCATGGTTAGAAACTAAAATCTTATCACACGATCCGAGAACAAACCACCCTCGGAAGCTGCGGAACAAATGAACCTGCACTCCACATGTAAGACAATTGAAAATGGGGGCTATAATAGTTTGCCTGCTTTGTTCCACGGTCGGAAGCCGACAAGAACTAAATCCTGAGATAGGCCGAAATTTTGTTTCACGATTATCTTTAGTGCGAACTGAAATTACATCCTTCTCAATTGTTCTGAGGTTTCGAGGTACTTGATACAGGAATTCGGATTCAATAAAATACGTATTGAAATGGCTGATGAGTCGTAGTCACACAGCTTAGGTATGGCGTCAAGTTTATAGTTATAAACAAAATATTACTTATGTAAATAATCTATGAGAGATTTTCTGGATATGAAAATTAATTTATTACAGGATTTAACTTCAAAAATAGGCTTAAGGTTCTTTAAAGCTTTTTTGTGTAGATGAGGAGCTGAACCCACTGCCAAGGCTGTTTTAGCTTTTGAACCGCTACGCTATACTTGAGACCTTAGAACTTATATCTCAAGGCGGGTGGCGCATTTACGTCGTGGAGGTCTATGGGCTCCAGTAACCACTTAACACCAGGTGTGCTATGAGCTCGTCCACCCACTTCACTACATAGTTTAAAACAAAGTCGCTTTCTCTGTCCCTATATCCCTATGTATGCTTAAATCTTTAAAACTACGCAACGGATTTTGATGCGGTTTTTTTTAATAGATAGAGTGATTGAAGAGGAAGGTATAATACTCGTAACATCCATTAAATAGTGGAGAAATCAATAATAAATTACAGTTTCCGAAGCGAAGCGAGGGCTGGTCGCTAGTAGGCAATAAAATAAAATAAAAAAGCAGAAATCGGTGGTATGGCACTTGTAGACTTTCAAAATACTTCAGTAAGCATGCTATAATTACACGGTGTTATCGTGCACAAGTTATTTGAGAACACGCGCTTGAAAGTTATCGGCGATAATTATCTTGCACCTGATATCTGATTCAAGCCTTCGTATAGTTGTATCAATCGTTACGAGTTCATTATTTTTATCTGTTAGGCCACAGGCGCTTGAGACATGAATGGAAAATATAAATTCAAAATAAATCATTTCAACTGCAATGCAAAATACTCAGTGTTAAAGTCAATGCGGTCTCTACGAGCAGTTCCAAAAAAGCTTGGCATAGCCTTGTTAAGAACCGACAGACTGAGGTATTGTTTCTAAATAATGTTGTAATTCTTTTTAATCGACAAAATTAATCACTTCAATCACGAAACAGAGGTAATATTACAAAACAGTAATTAAAAATAAATTTAAAAGACCGGTATCGAGCGCCTCTGTCGCGCAAGGAGTCATCTATCTAATAACGGCTTAGTTCATGATAATATGCCTTATGGTATAATATTGTAACAGATTTCTTAAACCAATAAATATGTGGTAATTACACGTTTTTGGGGTCTGCTTACAGGTACATTCAATTTTTAAGTGAGTTGCTTAAATCTTTATTTCTCTTCTTGGGTTGTCGAGCACTAGGTTTGTGCTTAGTGTTCACTTGCAGGATATATTTGGGGATGGGGATATATTTCGTTCTCAAATTTATAGGGACTCCATAAGTTGAATTCGTATTTAATTTTCCTGTATTTATTTAAATTAAAAACAGGTATCTTTATTTTTTATTCCAACACTGTGACCTGCGCCTAGTAATTTATAACGTAAACCGCGTCATGAACAAAAAAGGGTTAAGAAGAACTTCAATCACCTAACCACACAGCCGTAGCTAACCACAGACCGTAAGACATCTTCCCACTGACGTTCACGGGTGCTGGCTTCTCACAGAAATAACAAACCAAATACATCTTAAATTCTGGCTTTCTCGATTATAACTCATTTCAGGAATTCGACCAAGCAAAAGTCATCACATCTCGGTGCGAAGAATTTCCCTTTGAATCGCCCCTTTTAAGATTAGATTATACGAGAACACGCTTCAAAAGTCACTGTGAAAGCAACGACGAATACATATTTTCTGTTAGTATCTGATAATTATGAAAATTATTTCGCTTAAAAGGAATTAGAATTTACGGCTTGCCATCATTCTGAACCGGTCTGTTGGATAGTGAAATATTGACACCGCTGCGTAACATTTGACTTTTTGTAATTGATTCTGTAGTTTGACCCGGTCTGGTTTGGTTGGATATTTCATTGTTTTTAATCCATATAAAATTATTTTATTGACGCAAGCACAAGAAATAATTAAATTAATGTTTTCTGTTACTATAGTTAATGTGATGTTGGAAGGATTTAAAGAATTAGCAGTATTTCATAATCAAGATTTGCGAGTACTTTGTTTCACAAAGATTGAAGGTCTCTGAAAAAAGTCAAATACAAAGCTCTTTATTGCCAAATATGCAATTAATCGATGCTAAGCTATTGGATTCGCTATAATAAATATTTGCAATACATACATATGTGATAATAGAAGAAACAATTTTTGTCAATTTATTAGAATATTTTACTTATCGTCCACAAGTTCTTGAGACAGTTGAAGTATTTCTTATTTGATAAAAGAAGCCACATAACTTCCTTACATATTCATTTCCTTTTCATTGCATTCAGTTAAAGTGAATTCCTAGAT